TGTTCTAGTCTTGCCCATGATAAATATTAACCCTTTAGGTGCCAAAAGTAGCAGAACCTCTCTACATCGACCTGGATTTTTTTCTCACTTCTTTTTGTTGTTAACTTCTGTTATTGATAGTAGTGGTTTGTTTCCTTTGTTGTAAAGACACAAGCACACACAAAATATGATATATACGGAATTCTGCACGACAAGTGAAAGAAAGGGAATTTCTCTGTCCTCTGTCTCTTATAGAGTTTCAGGGCACTGCCTTTTGTCTGCTTCAAATCACATTTATGAAAAAAAGATTGTCTTGGAGCCAGATCAGGATTTTGATATTGTCAACTATAGTGTCACTTTACTGGTTCTTTAGTGAGTTTAAATAGATTTGAATCAAAGTGAAGTAATCTGTGTCCTCAGAAAGTGTGGTTATGATTGAGTTATGACAGAGCTGCTTTCAAAAATCAAAAACACAGACTCAGAAATCTGAGATTTGACTTTTATCGCCACATCGCCTGGAGTTTTTATATTAACTACATATTAACAAAGGTCGAGCTGACAACATTCACTCAACATTCATTTGAATATCTTTTAATCTTTTTTAAAGAGATATTTATTATTTATCCCAAAGGATTCTCACAATAACAATTAGTGGTTGGAGCCGTCGCCTCTCAGCATGAAGCTCCTGGGTTCCACTCCTCACTCTGAGTTTGCATGTTCTTCTCTCCATTTTCTCCAGGTGCCCAGGTTCCCAAATAGAATGAAAGGGTTTGATAATTGTTGTGGGCCTGTAAATGTCCTGTTTCTAGGCCTGTCACAATAATTACTAAAGCAAATTCTTGTTCAATAATTGATGAAATGAACAATATTCTTCTGAGTTTTATATTAATCGTCCTTTATTTCCTTTGCACTAATGTGGTTTTTTTTGTATAACTAACGTTTATGTCTTAATATGACTTAAATCTGCTATTTATTTTCCCCAGCGCAGGCCTTTTAATGAAATGGACATATTTTCAAAAACACATTTCTAATAATCCTGCTTTCTTGCATTAAGTAGGTTCAATATTATTGTTTATAGCAATATTTCCTCAATCTAAATGTGAAAGTGACAGGCCTCCTCTGCCACACCTGCTCTTTCACTAACACTGTTTTTATTTTGAACACATCTGTTCATATGTGTGTGTGCATGCCTCTGTTTGTACAGATACACATGTACACACACGTGTGTACATGTGTATCTGTATGTGTGTGCATGCGTATGTGTGTGCGTGTGCATGTGTGTGAGAACATGCGTACGTGTGTGTGCGCGTGTGTGTGTGTTTGTGTACATGCTTGTGTGTGTGTGTGTGTGTGTGTGTGTACATGCGCATGTGTGTGTGTGCGCGCGCGTTATTCCTTGTTTATACTAAAACATGTAGCAGTTTAACAGTCTTGTTGTCAAAAATCTGCGGCTCTATTAGATACATGACTTTTAAATGGAAGCCCAAATGAGAGAAATATTCAAGACAGCAGAGAGGATCCGTATCCATCCTCACGACTGGAGCATTGTGGGAAGAGAAAGCCGGTGGATGTGGCGCGCTAATGGATTTGCGCAGCCGGTAAGCCGTGTATTGTGTCGGTACGCATGCACACGACGTCCCGCTGCTCGCGAACAAATGTAGGATGAGGCGGTTAGAGACGGCAGCTTGTAAATGGCTTCAGATGTGTTTGGAGGAACCTGCTCAGACCTCAGCAGAGCGTGCAGGCCCCGGATCATCACCGGCGCACGCACACTCCTCACGGTTTTCACTCTTCGCGCTGCTCTGAGGTGGCGCGCTGTAACATATTGTGCTAAAATATTCTTTTGGCCGAGAGTGTTGCGACGCACTGTTACACACCGTGAGCTTCACCGCAGGCGGATGGATGTTTTCATGGGGGGAAATTAAGGATTGTGGGTGTAATAGGTTGTGTTCATGTTCTAGAATTGTATCTCAGTATTTCGGGCAGGTGCGAATACATGGAGGCAGGTGGGAAACAAACCTTTTTTGAAAGAAAATTTGACCAAGAAAATGTCCAATTGTTTTGGATTGGGATTAGATTCACAATCTTTCTTCGGTCTAAATCTGCACTGACCAACATCATGCATACTAATATTGTCACCACTTAGACCTTTATGGGACCGTAATGAGACCAGATTCAATATTTTATTTCATTAATTTCTTCAAAGCTTATAGCCAGAAGAAAAATGACAGTACAAATACAATGAGCATATACAGGTGACACTCTGAATATTTGGAATATTTATTTGATGATCATTTAAATAAACTTAAAATGTGAAACCAGTAAATTATATGGACTTATTTACGTGCAATGGGACTTATGTCAAGGTTTTATTTGTTATAATGTTGATGATTATGGCTTAAAGTCCAATTTCAAACATTTCTAATTTCCTGATATTCCTGAGATTTTTACTTGGGCTTTTCACTGAGCTAAATATCAATCCATTTTAGTTTCACATTGTAAGTAAATGACTTTTGAGGGATGTTCATAACCTGTACGTCATTGATGCACCACACATACACATTCCAAACTTTACATAATGACAGTTATTTCATGATTTCTGCTGGAATGGAGTTGGAAGAAGAAAGAAACGTATAAAGCCCATAAGTACTGACTTCTAAACTTTAAACTTCTGTTTCATGTGGAATGGTCCTGGAATTACAGAGACATTTGCTCCAAACTAAGACGAGGAATTTGGCAGTTACCTTATCATTGGTTATGTTACTGTTTTCCGCTGCTCTCACCACAATTTTAAACCATAGGCTCTTCGGAATGTTCTGATGTCACGTGATCACAACCATAAATGACTTAATGGCAAAACTGAGTGTATATGTTTGGAAGCGCAAAAACACTTTATTTAACCCCTCTTCCAATTGAGTATCTGGTCTTTTAAATAATTTTACACGCTTGTACCATGCAGCACTCCTTACCCTTTGCTTTTGGAGAAACACTTTATTTGATCTTTGTCTTAAAGAAAACACGGTTTTTTATTTTTTATTGAAATGAAACGCAGCCTCATTCATGTTTCTTACACCAAGAAAGTCCTGGGTTCGAATCCCGGTCGGAACATGGCCTTTCTGTTTGGAGTTTTCATGTTCTCCCCTTGTCTGCGTAGGTTTCCTCCGGGGGTTCCGGTTTCTCCTACCACTAAAAACATGAACAATAGATGTGCCAGTGTGTGTGGCGTCTCGCTTGCGTCATCACCGTGTGGAGAGAATGAAAAATATCTAAACTTTCAACAATTGTAAAGCTCTTTGGTGACCTTGGTCTGTAAAATGCGCTATATAAAAAATACTTACTTATTTACCTAATTACAATACCACTGGTCATAATTCTGTGGTTAGCGCATCACTACCAAATCTAAGCACGGCGACAAGGTGTAATTAATGCAAGAGCAGCGGCAGCACCTTGTGTCCTCTATTTGCAGACACTGCCAACTTAGGTTCATTTATTGTTGTGCTAAACCAGTTAAAACCAGAAAAAGCACTAGCTATACAGTTGGCCCTTAATACAGAGGGAATATCAATATGTCCATATCATCAGGGGTTCTCTGAGGACAGCTTTTCATTTTTAGATGTTAACCAATTCCGAGTGGCAGGCTAAAAAAATGATGAAAAATATTGTTGATATTCAGATGCAAAAAAAAACCAGACAATTGGGAGTTTATAAATCTTTAATACGTGTGGAAGCTACCATCAACATTTCAGTCTGCCAATCCTCTGTAAGAAAGAAGTGAAATATCATCAAGGTTAGGCTGTCATTTTTGTCTTTGTTGTTTTTTCACGCTTCCTTTTTTGTCCTTCCCCCCTCCTCTCCTAAATTCGTAAAAAAGTGACAGCTAGACAGCGGTCTGTAAATCCAAGTAAGTAACACGAATCGTGGCTGAATGAGGCTGTGTAGGAGTATTTGCTTTAGCCACTTTTTTTCATTTGTGGTTTCATAAGGGCTTCAATGTTTCAACTTAATACTAGACAATGGTATGGAGCTGGGTTTGGCTTTGATTTCTTATTGTTCAGCGATTTCTGTGTATGTTCAGATGCAGATTTAGGTATGGCTGGGAACGATGCACATTAGGGGGATTTCAATTAGATAAGATTCAATATATTTAGACAATACGATACAGTAAAAGAAAGGCTTAAAAATAAATCATCTAAGACCCCATTTGAACAAAAATACAACACTATTCATGCATTGCTATTTCATTTAGTGAAGATGAATTGTGTTTAGAGTCAAAGCAAAATCTATATTTATTTATTCATTTATATTTATTGGGGGAAAAATATGTAAAAAATGTGTATTACTAAATAAAAAATAGATAATATTTTATTTTATTTCAAAATATTATGTTTTTATTGACCCCTAGCGTGCTAAAAAAGAAAAGAAAATATGATCATATGTATAAGTTGTTTTGGAATATATTTGTTTTAATTTTTAAAACAAATTCAGATAAAAAAGAAATAGAGAATACTTTTGGCGTAAAATCCAAACCTAGACTTTTTCGCAAGCTCTCCTAATTGCTGCACACTTCCCACTCTTCTAACACTGCTTTTCCACCTACACCTATTATCCTGCGTGGGGCTATTGGCATCCTTTGTATTCTGCTTACTGTATTTCATCTCATAAATAATGCAGGCCATTAATTTCTTATCAACTAAATCACTGCCAAGAAATGTACTATTCATACGTGACAGATTTCTGTTTTTTTCACACCAATCAAATTTTAAAAATAAATACACACACAATGCTTTAAGTGGATGCACCGACGCCTGCCAATATTCACAGTGAATCATTTAAAGGCACACGTTTTAATTTTTTCTTTTTTTTTCTTCCAGGATTCTCCGTCTAAAGGCATGAAGCAACACTGTGATTTTGTGGCTGGTCCATGACACAACGACTTCATCCCTGTCCACTGTTCACCTCCCTCTGTTCTCATCAAACCGGACGTCCAAGCACCCGCTGTGTCTTCACTGCCGAGAAGCGCCATGGCCAGCAAGAGGAAATCCACGGTCCCCTGCATGATACCATCCAAATCCAAACATGCACGCGAGGAAATCATTTTGGGCTCTCTTCCGGAGCTCCTACCGACAATCCCAGAAGATAGCATACTCAGCATCTCTGGAGAGGATTCTGGCCACTGTTCTAATAAGTCTGAGTGTGCAAGTGAGACACAGAAAGGAGGAACCTACAGCTGTCCCCCCTGCCATTTTGAATCCAGAGATCTGAACTACTTTTTGGATCACATGCACAACTGCCACTTAGATTTTCGAGCCCAGCCCACATTCTACTGTCTGAACTGTGGGATGTCAGTAGTTCGCTTTGAAGCTCTGGCTCTGCATAACGCCACTGCCCATCCAAAAATAATGGAGGGCCTGGTCACTGCCTCCCTGATGGTCAACAAAAGGGATGGCGTCACCACTGTGGAGCAGAACCTATTTACTGACGGTGTGGAGGAAAAAGAAATTGGAATTTCCTTAATCAAAACGCCCATCGCAAAGATGAAGCTTAAGGGGGATCAAAAGAAGATTGTGATTTCTCACACTGTCGAGGTACGAAAAATAGATACTGGAAAAGATATAGACCCCAGCATGCTGACAAATGTGCCTGAAATGCAAAATGGGGCTCTTAGTCGCACTGGAGCCTCCACTATGCCGATGACGTCTGTCTCTCACGAATCTGCGACGACAGTGTCCAACCATGTCTTTCACCAGCACACTCCCTCCCTTTACTCCTCCCCCTCCTCTGATTCCAATAAGGACCTTCCAAAGGTGATGATCCCCCTTAGCAGCATCCCAACTTATGATGCGGCCATGGACACCAGCAGCTTTCTCAAGACATCCTTTGGCAAGTTCCCCTATCCGACCAAAGCTGAACTCTGCTACCTAACCGTGGTCTCTGAGTTCCCAGAAGAGCAGATAAAACTGTGGTTCACAGCACAGAGACTCAAACAGGGCATAAGCTGGTCTCCAGAAGAAATAGATGAAGCCAGGCGGAAGATGTTCAATACAGTGTTCCAAGGTGGAGCACCAAAAAAACTTACTGCTGCTCCTCGGCAGGTCAATCACATCGTCCACCACACAGTTCATCCCAATTCAAAAGGACCAAACTTCCCAATGGCCAAAGTTCCTTATGGTATCATGAAAGCCCGACCTATGGGAATCATTTCTAAACATCCAAACATGTCAACCAATCCAAATGTCACCAGAGTGTCCTATTCTACTTCAGTCCTGCCGCCAAGATTCCCACCTGCTGCCAGACCCTCACCAGTACTTACCAAGAATATCCAAGCCACTGTGGAGCTAGACAAGAGTAAAGGCCTGAGTCTGGAGCTGCCTGTGAGCAGTGCAGTTCTCAGCAGCAGCAGCAACAGTCGGAGCAGCAGTTGTAACAGTAGCATTAGTAATGGTGAAACTGTCAACCGAAGACAGCAAGATAACAACAATAGCCAGGCCAACAGTTCTGCCAATATTAGCAATAATGTACACTGTGTTGCTAAAATGAATGGCAAAGAAACTTGTTCACCAACTGGATTGGGAGAACAAAATGGTACCAAAAACCCTATAAACACCAGCAAATCCAGCCCCATTTATAACAATCACATCAGCGGCACGAACAATCCTCCCGAGAAGCCCCGTAACAGTTTAACAGATGACGAATGCAGCAGCAGTCAAAAAAACACCAACAGCAGTGTTACCAGTGAATACACCACAAGCTGTGACGATGCTGCCTCGAGCCTGAACCATGCCAGCAACTCCCCAACTGACAACACCAGCACTACAGTCATCACTAAGAACAATTTAGCAGTTTCAGAGGAAAGTAAACTCAACAAAGACTTTTCTATAAAAGGCATGTCAATCCTACAGCAGCTCATTAAGGACGAAGGCCCTCTGGCTGCAGACACAAATGGGCCTGAGCTGAAACTGCATCCGCTTAATATAAACTTCAAGAGGATAAAGATGAATACAGCAGAGATTCCTCCTGAAAGTGTACAAGAACACAAGTCTGAGACAGCGGAAGGGTCTCAAACATCCTTTTCTCCTCCGTGGAGTAACAAGAGCCCACAGCAGCTGCACGTCCTCAGACAGGTGTTCTCCAGCACACGCTGGCCAAGCAGCCAGCAGTACGAGGACTTGAGTGTTCAAACAGGCCTGCCCAAGTCCGAGGTCGTCCGCTGGTTCAGTGATAGTCGGTACAGCCACAAGAATGGGCAGTTAAAGTGGCTTGATACGTATCAGCGCCTGCCTGCAAACCCTGATACCCAGACAGGCCACAGGGAGACTGAAGCAGAATTACAAAAGGACCTTCTAGACAAAAAAATACTTGCAGACCAAGAAATGATAAAGCACCTTGAAGGAGGTTTGAGCTCCTCTCAGCAGATGGTATGGCAGGATTCATACCCACCCCTGCTTGGTCTGATGGGGTCCAAGGACAGCAGCATGCGAGGAGCTCACGAGGAGCCCACACCCATGGGAGTTTTGCCTTGGTCAGAGAGCACAGAGGACCACCAGCAACCAGCAGCCGATCAGTCACTCATTGAACAGCAGATTGACACCAGTCAGGCCAGGTATGACACTCAAACTTGTCAAAATTCTGTAATTATGTATCATTGTTGTGATTGTGTTCTGGTCGAGTGATGGCAGCATGATGAGCTACGTTAATGCAACGTACAGTAAAAACATGTGTGCTCAGGTACACAACACTGATGAGCTCATCCAGATAATCAAAGAGCTGTGTTTGAAGCCCTATTTTTAGACAGGTTGGGCTTGATGAATTATAGATAGCGGGTTCATGCTAATTTATGTGAATTAATCATGACAATCGTCTACTATGATAACGGATTCCTATGAAGCAGTTCTCCTGTACACTCAGACAGGCTCTTGAGCTCTGTCTGATCACATGTTGACAGTATCTTGTTTATGTTTGTTTGTGTGGATGTTAGGGACCGCCTGAGGATGGAGCTCCTGGAGGTGTGATGAAACAGGCCCGGTCTTGCCAGGGAAAGACCATGTCGGGAGGCTGGCTTGCTCCTTGGCTGTGGTCTACCAGTGTTCATGATGACAGCAGATGTGATTGTAGCTGGACCGTAGGACTCTGACTGTAACTGTGAATACCCCTCATCCCTCCTCCAACTCCATCTGCCATCACGTTCTGCCATCGTCAAAAGAAAGAACTTCTCACCTTTTGAATCCTGTGATGTTTAAAGCCTTTCATGCTTCTTTGTGGTTGTGTGGGGAGGGTGCACAATGAGGTCAGTACGAGGGATCAAAGAAAAGAATGGGAAAAGACGCACACTGACTGGAAAACTGACTTGAATAAGCGAAGATAGAATAGGTCTGAGAGATTGTTTTTGGGTCGGATGGGAAAAGATATATATATATATTAGAATACAGTATATATGACCGAATCTGCACTATAAAAGAGGGTTTGTAATGACTGGACAAACATGTTGAGGAATTGTTGTTGGCTTTGTGATATTTTTTACTTTTTTAGCAACCAGTACTTCAGCACTGCCTTGAATTTTACATTTTCCGTTTTGTTTTTTCAATTCTATTTACTCTTCTGTAGTCACTGTAAGTCCAGATGCAATCAAGACATGTTTTATTTAGATATGTATAATTGTTGGTGATCACTTTGCAGTTAAGCTACACGCAAGAGACTATGTACAATGCACTAATGAAGACAATGCTAAAGGACCACACTGCCCCACAGTCCAGGTATTGACCGCTGTGAACATCAATACTACACTGCCCTGCAAACGAACAGAGAAAGCCTGTCACGCTAACGTTGCCTTACTAAGCTCTGTCTATGTGTTTATGACCGTCTGTCCATCACCTTGCTTTCCAGCTACTGTGCTGTCTTTAAAAGAAAAACATGAACAATTATATGCCAGTACATCGATGGTCACTGTTGGTCTATATCTGTGGAAAAAAAACAAAAAAAACTTGTGCTGCTTTCTGTACACTTGGAGATGTTTTAAGCTGTATTTGTATCAAATATTGTTACCGCCAAAAACCAATTATCAATTTGGTCCCTAGGCACTGACAGAGTGGGATATTGTGCTAGCTAGAGAGCCAAATGAGGAGAGTTTTGCTCCTCTGAATTTTCTTGTGTTTATAAACATACAGTCACTACATGAATCTTATTAAGCTGCATCTTTGTCAAGCTGCTAATAGCTAAGAACGGTGCTATACCATCCAAAGTGAAATTGGAGGTCGATCTCCTACCAGCAGTGTATGCACTTGTGTCGAATGTTAAATTTATTTTGGTTTGAAATAAATGGAATCTGGACTTACGGTGTTATGATCACTTTAAAATTTTTATGAAATAGTCTTGATCATAGAGCACTGTTGTATCATCCTTTCTACACTTATGAATCTTTACAGAATAAACAATACTCACCAAGTAACACTGTCGCGTTTGTATCACGAGGACACGCCTTTGATGAGAAGCAATTATTCCAGACACTACTGTACTAAGAATTGGGGAAAGCACGCAGCCCCACCTACTGGTGAGACACCGGTACTGCAGCGGGCGGCCACATATAACGCTACATGAAATACACACTAAAAATGTTGGTCTTTTAGGTCAAAGCTACTCTTCTGCGCATGTCCAAATACAAAACGTGTAAATTCAGGACAGGAATTATATACACTATAACGTATAAGAAATATACATCGAATACAAGTGTATGTTTATAATTCATCATGGTTTGATTTGAGTAAGTTTCTTTAGTTGATGTACAGACCTTGATTATTGAAGATATAAAGACACATTTAACAATGTATTTGTAGGATTTTATTCATTTTTCAACCTACAATGAGCTTTAAACTCAGACATGGGTAAATGCTATGACCAAAGTGTCAACTTTACATCTAATTACAAATTCCTATTGCAAAGGTGGAATAAAATGAACATAGTTCACATAAAATGGTTCCTTTATCTTTACATAATTCCAAAGTTTGTCCAAAATTGTAACAGATCATGTGTTTTTTTGGCAAGTATATATCCCTTCGCACAATTACAAGAAAAACTGACTTAAATACATAATCAATTAACAGAATAGTTCTTTTAACAATTACCAAAACCAATTAATTGAACAGATTAACGCGTGGCAATGCCAGAGAAACATTGAAGGCAAGGGATGAATAGTTCACATTTACAATGGAGAATCCCTGATAGAAGCTGTAAAATAATATTCACATTCAGCTTGCTTAAGTCAGTATTGATGTGCTCACAATATCCCCCAGACCTGCCGCGGCGTCACCTGTCATTTTAAAAAAAAGTCCAGTTTCAAATTTATTTTCAGGACTACAAATTACAACTCTCATACACACACACACTCAGTCCGTCTCCAACTTCTCCAAAAAAGGCGCATGGGTGTATTTAAGGAATTTATATTGATATTTTTTTCTGACAATATTAGATACATAATACATGGGAGGACTAAAATACAAAGTGAACAGAGGAAAATACAAAGCATTTGATACTATAGCTACAGACTTGTAGAGGTTTGGCAACACCAGTGACGGCCCAGGATCACAGTCCCAGTACCAGAGGAACCTATGCCTTAATAGGATGCGACGTCTGCACATCCACATTCTGGGCCACAAACCTTTGCCATTTCAGTGACTTTTCAGTTCAAATGGTCATAAAGATTGTTCTCAATTGTGGCCAACTGTTGAGCTCATGGAGTCTGACGTTTAAAAAAAAGTTAAAACCACAAACTTGCTTTAGAATTCATAGTCCTCCTCTGCCATGTCTAGAGCCCAGGCAAACTTCTCACGCTGAGTTTTGTTGTAGATTTTCTCGACAGGAACGCCCCACTTCTTGCACCTATGGAGAATAAAAAAATACAATATTTAAGTTATAGTGCGCAAAACTGATATAGAGTAATGAGACGACTCCTACCATGCGACAGAGATGCGAGGGTCCAGGTAGTTCAGCTTAGAAGTGCCCAGAGCAATTTGCTTGTTCTCCTCACGATCGGTGGCCTGCACTTCCAGCTTCATCAGTTGTTCCTCTATTCTTTCCACAGCCTTCTTCTTGGTCTCCACAGATCTGAGCATTAATCAAGTTAGACCCACAATCCAAATAAGTGCCTGATAAAAATGTATATATATGCGTTCATACTTTTTGGTTTTCTCGTCCCGTCGCACTTTAGCATCTGCCTTTGCACTTTTAAGTTCTCGCTTCGCATCAGAAAGCTGGTCCTTCTTGGCATCAATCTAGACAGAACAAAGACAATACAAATCCAGGCCCTTTTATACATTTAAAACTTCACCTTATGTTTACCCACCTTAGTTTGCAAGTTCTGCATAGACTTCTCAAATGTTTTGGGTGCCGCCCTCTGATGGTTGCAGAGAATAGCCACCGCTCTGTTTGCTCTGTTGTAGGACAATATCTTGGCGGGAATATTGTCCTCAGCTACAAAAAAATAATCAAATTAGATCACTTTCAAAAAACAACTTGAGGTGGGATTCTTGCACATGAACGCACGCACAATTAGTGAGCTGCTTCAACTGCTGCTGAAGAGTGATTGAGGCGTTGTAAGTACGGAACACTTTAGCTGTCAGGCCCTCCATCAGTTCCTGAAGATGTTTGTTAAGGACTGTAGTCTGAAGAAGAAAAAAAAATACAATTTAAAAAAAGACAGCTAAAAAGAAAAGGGCTCAGATTTACAAGTATACTCACATTCAGGCGATCAAACAGATCGTCATCAGGCTCTTTATTTTCCATGAACAGCTGGAGATTTTTGAACACCTGGGGGAAAATGAAAAGCCTTCTTAAAGACTACTGCACGTTTCTCAGGATGTGTGTGAATAGAAGCTCAACGTACCCTTTTCTCCACTGGGACCTGGTTGTAATAGCGAATCGAGTCTTTACCCAGGAAATCAAACTCTACCACAAACTCCTGGCCATCCTTCTCTGGGGAGAGTTTAATGTGCTCGACTCTCAGAGAGCAGCAGCCCACCGTGTCCGCAGTTTCTCCTTCCTCCTTCTCGTTACCCGCCCTCAGGGCCAGCTGGAGCACATCAGGACAGACGGATTAGCGCGGGCTTAAAATCTGCACACTGTATTTAAGCATTTCCCAAATCTATGCCAACATTTAGGCACACAAGAAATGCACCTTGTCAATAAAGTAGAGAGCCACAGCCCTCTGCCGGATTCTCATCTCTTTGGATTTCCAGTCGTCCCTGTACTGGTTCCGGATGCGGTCCACACACTTCTTAAGTCTACGGGCAGTTTCATACTTTTGCCAGTCCTTCTCCCCCTGTAAAAGCAGCCCATTGTAAACATGAGCTTCAATATTGAAAAAGAATCCCACTCGCTTTCAAAATGAACAAGACGACAGCTACCTTTATCCTGGAGCTGGGATTGAGCATGATGTATTTTATGGACCCCTGGATGTTTTCTGTCCACGACACCAACCATGTGACTTTGTTGTCATGACGAACCTCCTTCCACTTGGTGCCAGGAGGGGGCTCTGGGTGTTTGGAGTCCCTATCGAAGGGTGGATTGATTGCATTTATGGTGGGACTGATGCCACAATATTAAAAATCTATGCAAATCCTAGCATCCATAAGTATCAAAAGATGGTACAATATGACATTAGACGAAACAACTTCAATAACAAAAAACAAAAACATTTATTTGTGTGTTCAAATCTGGAGTAGAGACGTTTTAGTTTGCACTAGTGAAAGACTCACTTGCTGCAGTTGATGATGATGTCTTTGGGTCTGATGCGACGTTTGAGCATTCCCATTTTAGGATGATCTCCACGCCCCCGAAAGAGACCCGGAGGCTCGATGCGGAAGTTGGCGATACGTTCTCTGTGATTGTCCATGATGCAAAAGCCATATTCCTGCAAAAGGCGCTCATTTTCTTCTTTTAATTTCTGCAGGACAGAAACATTGTCATAATGTGGTCCAATCTCACCATAATGTGCATGTACATTTAAGACAAGACTTTACCAGCTTCTCCTCTTTAGTCTTGGACTTTCGAGCTTCAGACTGCGCTTTGAAAAACTCAGCCATTTCATTGAAGTCACACTTATTCAAGTCAGTGATTTTAGACTTCTCCTCGGAGTTCATTTCCTATAAACAAATAAACAGGAAGTTTTACCTTGGAATTTCACATGCATTTTGGATCCAGTACTTTTCTACACAGACCATAAGTGATATTTGGCTTTGCATTTCATCAAACCCTTCATAAAGCACAAGTGCAGTGGATAACATATCCATCTTTGGTAGTTCAGATTTGACAACAAATAACAGGAAATTTGTACAAAGTACGTATAGTTTACCTTTCTCCAGTCTTTAAAAAAGTTTTTACGGAAAATGTCTTTAGTGGTGTACTCGTGATCAAGCATCTTGGCAAAGAATGTGGCCACTTCTTCTGCTTCAGGACTGAGTTTCATTTGTTTACCTGCAAAATAAAATTATATTAAGATTAAATTAAAGATAAATGGTGCTATTGCTGAATGAGACAATACTAATGATATGCATTCTGAACTGTACAATTTTATTAGCAAAGTAAAACGTTCAAAGTGCTTCTGCTCCTTTTTGATCTGACCACATGGGACCGCTACATATTCTTACCGTCATAGTAAAATTTTACGCGGCTTGGCAGAGGTTCATATGGTGGTGCAAATACGGGACCTTTATGTTCCAGAAATTTCCATTTGGACCCATCAGTGGCCCTTTCCTCCTCCCACCTGAAATAAGACCAAAAAAACAGTTACACAATGTAGATTCAGTAAAAGGCAACAAGTGAACAGATCACTAGAAGAAAAACTCACCACTTCCACTTCTCCTCTGGCTCCTTTTTGGCCTTCTTTTTACCGTCAGCAACTTCTTTTTTTACTTTTCCTTTAGGTTTCACCTTTACCTAAAGTGCAACAAATAATTAATAGAATTCTTCAGTTATTTAGCGATACCTTTCATGTTCAGGGCAGACGCCCAATTGCCCCATTCCTCATGCTACGTTTTAAATCATCTGAACTAGAACTAATGAGCTGTACAAGAGTTTGATGCATGTATGTAAACAAATTGGTGGCCACTCAGCAATCACCCTTTATCCTAGTGCGTCAGGAGCAAGTGTAAAGAATATGTACGAAAGAATCAGTGCTGTGTCAGACCAGTGATGATGCAGCTTTGCCTATTCCAACACGTCCCTGTCATTCTTCCAGCCAGTATTGTTCCTGTGGTTAACTTTTGCATTATATTGTGCCACACTGGCCCACATGCATGAGTGTATGTGTTCAGCAATGGACGCCTCTGGTGGTGATTGGTGCTTGCAAGAGTATACATGGACCTTTGCCTCCATATCCCACCGCTACAAGTGTGTAGCTGCTGTGTATACTCTCAATAAATGTAATGAAGTAACTGAATAAACAGGTCAGTGCTGCTTACATCTTCATGTTTTCTTTTTTTAGCCTTCTTGTCATCTTCAGTCTTTATTTTCTTGGACTTGAATTCAACACTTGAGGGAAGAAAAAGAAAAGATTAATTCCTTGTGTCAACAGTGTCGTATTAAAGAGTTAGGGCATAGACTAGTGTAAGCTTACTCATCATCATCTCGCTCTCTCTTCAGAGACTTCTCATGTTTGGGAGCGTGGTACAAGTCCTCAGGCTCAGACTTCACATGCATACTGCTGGAAAACAAGTTTAAATAACTTCATTAAAGTACAAGCTTCAGCTGAACATTGAAAACTTAAAATTAGTTTTGTGCATATATTAAGTCATTAGCCATCAAACATAATTGCAAATAAGAGTTGAGTCTCCTTACCTGCCAAAGCCATTTTCCTTCTCCTTTTTGATTTTCCCATCTTTAATCTGAAAATGAAGAGTTTACATATGTATCAAAATAAAAACAATGAACATAAGCGCCACGTTACCTTTTCCTCTTTGCGCTTCTCTTTGTGCTTGTCTGCACTCCCATCTTTGTGCCTTATCTTTTCCTTCTCACGATGTTTTTTGTCAGACGAATCCTTATAGTCACTAAAATGTAATGAGAATCATGTAAACACGGATGTCTTATGATAGGCTGGTGCGTGACGGAGGACATACTTGTTGCTGTGCTTGGACTTGTCCCTCTCCTTGTCCTTCTTGTGGTCTTTGAGTTTGTGCTCCTTATGCTTGTCTCTGTGTTTGTGAGAGTCTGAGGAGAAAGGCACTTGGTTTACATTTATAGCAGTGTAAACCTACTGTATTCTTTATACAGGTAGGGCCCGTCACTGAATGGTGACTACTACACACACACACACAAAAAATGATTAAGACTCAGGATAACAATCACATTTAATGAACAATAACTTTTTTCAAATTATTCACAATATACAAAAAAAAAGAGAAAAAAAAGAAAGAAAAACTAAAAGGTTATTTAACGTAGAAGAAACTACAAAAACATCCAAACAGATTTATTCTGAAGATGAGATTAAAGTACTTTTAATGAGAGCGTGTGCAGTAATTTACGCTCATTCATGCGGTTCACTCATCGCACTGCCATCTGCACTTCATGTCTGGACTGTTTCAGTAGACGGGCCGCTACAGCGAAAAAGAAAATGGCGCAGAGACTAAGTCCTCAACCCCCAAACACTCACTTTCAAAGAGCTAATAGGGCATTAAAAACTCGGAAAGTATTCAAACCACGGCAGCCGATTTATACTCCACGCAAAGAGCTTTCATAAAACCACTTCACAGCATATAATTTCCATCAACAAATAGTTGATAAATGCATCCCTTTTGAACAATAGACGCTTATGCGTGAGACAGAGGACTTAGTCTCTGGACGCCATTTCTGTCCTTTGCCAAGAACTACCCTGCTACTATATCTGATCAATAAACAAATATGCCACAGTAAAAATATATAAAGTTATGTCATTCCAACTTACCATTGACTCTGGAGCCACAGTCAACCTGCAAAGTTTGAAAAACACATAAAGCACGCGTTAAGACCACAATCAAGCAAAGAAACGCTGAACTTGGATGTCAGGAGTTTATTAGCTTCCCGGCTAGCTCGCTTAGCTCACTGCATCTGATCAAATGGCTTGGTTAGCAACTAGCAACCGCTACAGCTAACGTGGGCCAGCAGGCCACAACAAATGATTCATAATGTTCACACCTGGCAAATGTGAACTTCTCACAATTTAACTTCAATGAATCTCGGCCGAAAATCGTTTGAATGGGCCCTTGTAATAAACAGTGTGGTACAATATGAGTTGGCATACACACAGTGAGCTAACGCATGCTAGCTCATAGTATTCTTAAGTTAGCAAAGTTCCATGTCAGAGCCTAACAGAGAAGACAAGTGTGCTCGCTCATTTATACGCCTATATTTTGGACCATTAACCAGGTAAACGACATTTACCTGGTTTTCGTTCTGGAAATGGTCCCCACTCATTTCCCAGAGATCTCTGTATGAAACACAGTGCAAAGTGAAGCTTTCACCGGTACCGGGATGAGCCGAATGGAGAACAGACGCTGTTGTGCAAGAACAAAGTCTCCAATACGCGGCAGTGCGCATGCGCTACAGTTTAAATGCTTCAGACCAGCGGAGCTCCTCCTTACGTGTCCCCTGACACACTACAACCAGAGAGCTCCCACTCTAACAAACATTTATTACGTATTAATAGTACGGTTATGTGTCATCTGACAGAGGGGACCAAACAAATATGTGTACTATCCATGGATCTATAATATTACTGGTACTATCCTATGTGCAGATGCAGAACAGAGGGAGAAGTAGGTAAAAGGGTAAAAGTAGATTCCAGGGGGAAAGGCACCCCCTTTCCCCCTTAGATCTACTTTTACTTAAATGCCAGAGATCAATATACAACATGTTCAACTTAATGAACTTATAGTGCACAATAAACGACATAAACTTGCTTTGCCACAAGTTTAGGCATTTACATATTATGCATATAATTATTCCAAATTTGAATTACACTTTCTTGAGATGGGAACAGTATTGGTTACATAGGTAAATTAATCAGTATTCTGGTATAGTATTCTCGATAAACTTACTATGCTTATCAAACAAAGGTTTATATTGTGGTATGGTCATGGAGCTTATGGAACACAGCGTGTGGGGGGGTCACCCCCCACACGGGATTGAACAAGTTGACCCTGCACTGGTGGTACATCAAATGGTTGTTGTATATTATGTTTTATGCATTGTGTTTTAACATTTGTCTTATATGAATTTAGGGCTTCTACAAATGGATATTGGTCTAAGCTCAGAATCCACAACGCATAACATCAATCGTGAGCATCTGGTATAAGCTGGAGCTTTCATAAATCGCTTTTACATTATATCATTGAATATCTGTGGATTGATCTTAGTGCATCTTATACAGCCTGGGGATATCTCCATTCTGGAAGATTGTTGTGAGAAAGAATGGGCCAAAACATATATATTTTTTCATTTATTGTTTATTACACAAAATTAAATGCAGTTAGTTACAGTTGTTGACAATAAGTAGAATCTGTATTATTATTAAAAAAAAATTAACCACCCCCCCTCCCCAATTCGTCTCCAGGTTGACTGTGTATCTAATAGAAATATGTTTAGCTGAGTACAAAGGGTAAATAAGGAGATAAGTCCCTAAAGAGAGAGAAAATAGATAATAAATAAATAGTTCATGTACCTTTAGAATACACCTTCATACATATTAGCACCTGACCAATACTCATGTTATATGGGTTTAGCAAAGCAGATTTTTGTGTTTTAAGGAAGAGGTCTTGCTGTTGGTGAAGCCTAAGGATCACTTTTTTGAAGTTTGCTGCGTTTATCACCCATTCCATCAATTGCCAAAACATTTCAAATAAACTCTTGGCTGCCTAAAAATTCCATAGTACTTATATGACACTTTTCATGAAGGCACTTCACATGGCTGCGGCTGTAAAGTGCCAAACTGCTCTTTAGGCACACCCACATTGCCTAGAATATGTCTAGTGTGTGTACGAGTGTTGGTGATGGTCGGAGGGGCCGATGGCACATTAGGCAAGGCAAGTTTATTTGTATAGCACAATTCATACACAAGGCAACTCAAAGTGCTGAACCAATCAAGATGGCATTAAAATAAATAATCACAGTACATTAAAAAGAAAGATAGAAATATAAAATCCCTCAGTTGTATGCACAGCTAAACAGAACTGTTTTTAATCTAGTTAATTGTCAGAGAGAAGGCCTGTCTCACACTTTCAGGAAGATTGTTCCAGATTTTAGCAGCATGAATCTGAAATGCAGCCTCCCCATGTGTCAGACCAAATATATTTGACACATGGGGAGGCTGGGGAGGCTATAAAAAGGAGAGGTGCGTTCATTAACATGCACTGCCCAACCAAATAAACAATAAATGGAAAATAAATACATACACACACACAAAGAGAGGGAGAGCAAGAGAAAGAGTACTTTAAATCCAAAAGATGGTGCTATTGTCCACATTTAACACAGCAGGGAAAATAACATTAATAAAGCCACTATTACCTTCATGTTCAACTCCGAAACTAAAGAAAATAAAGAAAGACAACACCTTGGAATTGGGTCTAAATGAAACCACATGGGCTGTGGCTCCATGAGACACCAGTACTTCTGAAATTCCACTTACAATGTGAAACTAATGTATGACAAACTCCATGCAAAGTGACCAAGCCTTTATTTGTTGATAATTGGTTCACAGTAAAAAATAAAACACATTTTGAAGACATATTTATCAAAACAAAGCTTGGAATATGTTGCTTTGCATGTAATGAGTCAATATCATATACTGTATTGGTCTCACATTATTAGTAGATTTACAGAACTGTGAGATTAGATATATTCTAGTATATATATAAAATTACAGACAGAAACCACTCCAATTTGTACAAAAGACACAATGTCGCTCATTTATTAAATAACTCCAAAACATACATCTTAAACCTTTTTAAATAAACACAATGTAAACAAAACAACAAGAACAAAATGCAGATAGCAGCATCTCTTCATGGTGACAGTTGCTGCTGTTGCTGCAGGAGCAGAGGGGGTGCTTTGACTGGGCTCTGGTAAAACAGCATGTAAGAGTCACACAACAGCCTGCGCACAAGTTCAGGTTCCTGTGAGAGGTCGGTGCACGCCAGCTCCTCCTCTGACTTAGATAAAAAGTCACCCAGCTCTGGACACGCGCGGATCTCTGGAATGTTGTAGCCGCTCTGATCATTACCTACAGAAAAGAAAATGACGATTAGCCATCATCTGGAGGACCGGAAATGTCAGGGACGTCAACAGAAAGACTTATCTAAAACTGACAAGGACATTTTTATCTGTCGACAAATGCTTACAAAACAAATCCAAGTTAGAGCTGGGACAAATACAATGTTTTTGCTGAGGGACCCAACTTTTTCATGAGTAAATACATTTTGTTTGTACCAACAGAAAAAGTGCTATAAAATGTTGTAAACAAATCAGACCGGAACATGCTGTCTTCATCTTATTTCATATCTCATCTTTTGCAAACGAGTAAAAAGATGCAGTGAGATGCTTTGGGCAAAGAGATGATTGGCTGACTGGTCCGCTCTGTTTAACTTTTCCGTCCAAAAAAGTTGATCCAAAGATGTGACAGAGGCCAGAAATACATGGTGATAAAACTAGTGTTAGCTGGCCAAATGGATTGAGCAGTGATGTCATTTATACTTTTAATGACTATTTTCTCAAGAAAACAATCTTGTTATTTAATTTACTTTAAACATTGGGTTGAATAAAAATGAAAAGACAGATTGCCATATCTTGTTTTGGTTCACTCAAAACTAACCTGGCAAGAGCCAGATTGATGATTGTGTAGAACTCTAACGCGTTCTCCGCGATATCAATCTGGGATTTCTCCCGGAGAATCCTTTCGGGGAAAGGAGGGGTAAGCAGCAGAATACTTGAAGCTGATTGGGCGAAGTGACGCTGTGTGCCCGCCTACCAAGGCTGCCGTCCAGAAATGCACAAAGCGCCTCTCGCTGTTCATCTTTCAAAAAAGAAATTGGAGATACTGCTAAAACTGACTTGATAGCCTCAGCTACGCGTCCGTCCTCCTGCGTAGCCATGTTTGTTTTGCTTCGGCCCGGCACTTCTTGCTTTCGTCAAACCCGGATATCCCGCCCTAAACCCCCAGACTGGCGCGTGATTGGCTCGCACACCCAGTGGTTCTACTCGAAAAGGTTTGGCGGGAGCGGTACAAGATGTATTCTCGAGTGTTTGTGAACTCACAAATACCGCGAGAATTCAGCTTGCAGGCAAGGTTAACTCAAAACATAACTGAACTTAATTTGTTCAAAAATCTGAAAAGAATATCCAAAACTCAATAGTAATTATAAGGTCAAAATCCCTACATATTGTAAATATATAAATAGGACTACGTTCCATAAAAAAACAGGACATCTTGGTATAAAAGTTTATCTAAATATACATGCAGTATTATAATATATATTATAATACAATCTGTTTAATACTGCTGGTGTTGCCTAATTTTTGAAACATATGAATAATGTAGACGCTCATAGTTTGAAAGTTAGGTACCACAGCTTCCATTAAACACAAGATAAGGGCTTACCGCATCGGTCCGCCATGCTGTCGAAGAAGATCCATGACTTGGAGTCCGAGCCACAGTTGACAAAAGACACGTAATGGCTGGTTTGAATGCACAGAACTGCAAATAGTTGCATGGTGTGTCTCGGCAACGGAGCATCGGTGGGCACAGTTGTTGAGACCAGCAGCGGTTTTGGAGAATGGCTTTGTCTTGTGGGATGGGTGTGCACCTTTTTGAAACAAATAAAATTATCATCAATAGGAAGATTGAGTTTGTAAAATGCAATTCATGAAAAGATAATTACTTGTTTGCTGCAGGTGGCACAGTATTGCTTGATTCTTCCTGGATGCAGCTTACGTTCGGGGAGACACGTACTGCAGACACTCAAACTCTGCCAAGCACCCGCAAAGAAAGCATTCCCTCGGACCTGCAGTGAAAGAAACACATCCCATCAGAATGAAAGTAGAAATGTATTTAGTTTATGAGAAATCGAATATCAGCCCTAACTTCTTTCCAGCGGATATGCTGCCATGGCATGTTATAGCTCATTTTAAAGGTATTTTTTTATCAGAAAACCCCCACATCATTCCTTTTACTCTAAACAACAACTCCAACGTGTAACTAGTAATAATTAACAAATAATTATTCATATAAAAAAATCTCATGAAGAATTTACAAATCTGATAAAAGCAATAATTTACTCAAAATACCTCCATAATATAAAAATAATCACAAATTCAAAAGATGAACTATAAAAAAATTCCATAAATGAAAAAGAGGCTATTTTTCCAGTCTTCGCTTCTTTTCCTAATTGCTAAAGAGCACATTAGTATTATCCCACGCACAATGTTTTATTCTGCAGCTTAAAATATAAATATATAATTTTCAGATATATTATTATTATCCATTGCCCAGTTTGAAAAGTCTGCACCACCACCAGACACAGAAAACCCATATTGGTCGATCTCTAATTAAAAGGTGTTATGCATCTGAATTTGTTTATTCTTACAATTATAAAGAAGATCTGTGATGTCGAGCTCAACCGAGGGAATGATGTGGGAAAACATCCTGTATTTGCTGCCGAACCTGGGCGTCTGTATCAGCAAACATGACGGCGTCTGGGAGAAGAAAGGCATATTAATAAACAATGTATTTGAGGTCTGAAATCAATTGAGCAGCTTTCTAATGGAAATGTGTTTTCAAGATCTATGAAAAATAATTGCAACCATTAGTGTTTGTGATTTGATTGTTTATTTAATTTGGGTTGATGAAGGAAACCACGATGCAAACAGCTTGATCCAATCAGTGGATTAAACCACAGTGAAAACAATAAAAATCAGGTTCAGGTATTTCTATGACTCTGTATTACCCCACTGCAGCAATATGTTTTTAGACCCGTGTTTGTTATTTCACCACAGGAGGCAGGAGCGTGTCCACATGAAAGATTTGCGCCAGTGCAGCAGAGGAAGGCTTCGGATTTTGAGAATCTGTCTCTGGCCGTTGAGTAACAGATATGATTTGATCCAACAAGCTGAGATTTAAAGCTGCACTAACTGACTGCACCAAGAAGAAGAAGAAGAAGATATTTTCGAATATGAGCGCTCTTTTTGCTCCCTCTCCCCGCACTCACAGAAGTTTTGCTTATAATCTTCCTCACGAGATCTACACATAAGCATTGGGCTACAAAACAGTTTTATTTTTATTTCTCTTTAAATTACAGCTATATTTGGTGAGTGTTCAGCATAATGACGCGGTTGCAAGGCGGTTTAAATGCAGGTTGTTTTGACCCGCCAGCCTGTGTCAAACAGTCTGCCCTGTGGTTTCGCACAATGGGAATGACGTTAAAGTCACTTCTTCCTTCATCTAATCAGAATCTTAATCTCTGTTACCAGACTTTAGTCCACACAATGTATTACATATGAAACCACAAGTACATAATCCCAGGTACCCACCGTGTCAAACTTTAGATCATTGGACAAACAGGACGTGTCCAGGAGCTGCTGGACTGTTGGCATGGGGCCCATCTGCTCTTTTTCCAAAAATATCTGGAAAGTGTATGTATCCTGGTACGTCTCCCCTCTGGATCTGAAACACAAATAAACTCAAACTAGGGCTGCGTACAGTACATACATTTATACAGATGAGGCGAAACATTACTTATATAGATACAATTCTTACAATTCAATCAAATTTCTAAACGATTTGATACGGTTCAGTGAAAAATACTTTTGGCCCCTTATCATTTCCTATGCCCCATTCATTCATTTATTGAAGATAAATTGTTATTGCAGTCAAAATATAAAAAATAGATACTAAAAAAAAATGTCCATGGTGTTTTTACTGCAAAGGGCAAATAAAATGAATCTGGAATGTATATGATATGTATTTATTTAGCATTTAGCATTCCAAAGATTATCTCCAACGTTAAAAAGCCTGTCTTACCTGAGTTTAAGCAAAGGCTCAATGCACAGCACCTTCTGAAAAAGCACGGTCATGAACTCCTCTGGGTCTGTAAAAAGTTACTTGTTTAGTCTGATGAAACAAATTAAATTAGAAAAGTTCAGTAAAAAATATTAAAAAGAACCTTTTTCTTCTGTGCTGAAGGAATCGCATCCAAGCTGTTTTCGAAAACTCATCACACTCTCGGCAGGCACAAATCCTTGCCTGCAACGAGTTATATTCAATGTTCAATATGAGATTTATTAAGAGGAAAAATATTGAAAATAATAATAGCAATAAATGTGAAGGCCTAGAATGAGTCTGGTGTGTGTGTGAACGGTTGGTGGTGGTCGGAGGGGCCGATGGCACATAATGGTTGCCTCGCTTAAGTCAGTGTGCCCCAGGGCAGCTGTGGCTACAGTAGTAGTTTATCACCACCGTGTATGGAGTGAATGAATAATGACATGTAAAGCGTCTTTGAGTGTCCAAAAAAGCGCTATATAAAACCGATGCATTATTATTATTATTATTAATGTTCAATAATGTACAATATTTCTTCATCTTTACTTCAGACTCAAATCTAATTGGTCCATAAAAAATTAAAAAGAGAAAGTTAATATTAATAATATTGCCCAATCCTATAATTTGAAAGAACTGATTTGAGAGTGTATTACTTAATCTGATCTAAACATGTGACGGAGACCAAAACACATGTGAAAACTAATGATAGAAGTTCGGTCAGCAAATCACTTTTTTTTTGTGATTTGATAATGTGGCAAAGTACAAACCTGCGTAAACGGTTGATGATTTTCCTCAATGTGCATGTTGTCGGTGGCTCTATGTCAAGTGGCCTCTGAAAGAGTCGGTCCAGAACCAGCGACGAGCAGAACAAACTGAATAGAAATAGATAGCCTTAGTTCTCGCAATCTATAGTTGACCTTTCATTTGTCCATTGTAGAAAAGTCAGTAGGTTTTTCCCACTGCGACTCCGTGTTGACCCCGGACAACAGTGGGAAGGGTTGGAGTATTGTTTTAACCTGTCGGCTTTTCACCACAAGGAAGACAGAAACGTGTCAAAATTACTCTAAAGCAAGCAATATAAACATTTTCAAACATATTATTCACGGACAGCTTTATTATAGAAAGATCAATGAAGGCAAAAGCACAAAAAGCAAAATAGACTGTAATGCCTATGGGAAAGTTTTTCTCCGACTTGCTCTGGTTCCTATTGACTTCCATTGAACTCCTCTAGCTCTTATTCATTTTCATCACACTCACAATTTTGTGCTTGAGAAAATCTGTAGTTTAGCGCTTTCTGTGATCCACTGTGTTTATGTCTTTAATATTGTCTTGTTTGTAAATTCCAGATAGAAGAAGGTTTAACCAATCAGATGCCTTCAGTTTGTTGACTTGCCCCTGCCGAGGTTCGTCGCAACAAATAGCCATAAAAGGAAATTAGCTCCAGCTAGCTTATGTTCAAATCAGCTTCTTCTGTATTCGGCCAACACTCGTGCTAGCGTGCGTCTGGTTTTACCTGAAGAGCGTAGCATCGAGGTAACAGGAGTTGATGTGGCCCTGGATCCCCTTCATCTTTCCAACAAGAACAGACAAAGCTTCCGTTTCTGTAAGAGGAGCTGCATGATCCTCAGACTCTTCAAAGTCAGGAACTGTGAGAAATATTACCGTAAACATACGCGCATTTAGAATTGATAGAAAATGAACAGTGGAATAAACACAACATTCCTCAGAGCAGGGCGTACAGGGCCAACACAATTATATTACTGTAAAGTGCAGAATAGATTGTATATAACCTGAAAATCACATGCTTTAAAAATTGCTATGTTGGAATAAAACAACACAATGATAACTGGATCTTGGCATCGGATAAGACAAATTATTGGCGCCAATTCATGCTTTTCCGCATACCAAGTTCTTCTGTTTGTAAGTGCAGGATGCATAAGTTACATAACACAATTGAGTCTTAAGTTGTCTGTGAAATTTCTTTTTTGAGCAGATATTGAAAACCAAAGAATGGATTGTGGCATTGGACAAAGCAGATACAAACGTCAAACCTTTTCTTCATAAAATGGACAGCAGATAATGCTTTGTATGTATTTAGAATACAACTATATTACACATTAATGATTATTTTTCTTTTTTTAATTACAACTCTAGTGGTCTGAAATAACTCAACCAAGTTGTCTGATCTGGAGTCAGAATGTTTTGAAGTAATCACAAATACAAAGGGAGAATTTAATAATACATTGTCCTGGAAGTCTGTAACCATTTATCTTTAGGGCTAAACATGTAAAAAGTGTCACCTGTTTGTTTTTCTGTCCTGAAGTCCACGCTCTCTGCACTTGAGCCAAAGCGGGCGTCAGGAGAGCACTTTGTCTTGGGGAGGAACAGGGCCTTGTTTCCAGAGCAGGTGAAAAACCTCTTCCCTCCATAAGTTCCATCAGAACAGCCTTTGATGTCATAGTCCTGAAACAAGAACAATGTTCTAGAACCCTATTTCAGCCGGAGGCAGGGGTCAAAGCAAGTCAAAGGGAAAGAAGCAGTTTTTCTTGATATGTTGAATAAGAAAATGTCCAAATGTTTTCTTGTCATTATTTGATAGGAATCAGATTCACAAACCGCATTATTCTTTTGTCTGAAAGTCCTTTTGACTGGCCAACATTATGGTGACATGAAATGTCTGTTTCTTCACTATGCTGAAGTTGTAGATTATAGACTTTAATCGAATTAATAGAGTTTTTATTTATTTTAGCATTTAGCTATTTAGCATAATTTATCTTGTGTTGCATGCTCCACATTCCTACAGTTCTGTAACTGGTGATGCAACACTGAAATTTCCCCACTGTGGGATGTTTAAAGGTTGAAGGATCTCTTAAATTATCGTTCAAAAGTTAAAATGTGAAATCGCTCTATGATATAGACATACGTATACCAAACCTTTGTGTGTTGTCATTTTGATGTTTATGACTCACAGAGCATTTTCAAAATATTGTTTATGTTTTATGGGGGTTTTTAAAAGTTGCGATCCATAATTATCAATATAACAAATACAGTGTGATACATCTCACCTTGTGTGTAATGAGTCATTTCCTATTGTAAGATGAAATACAAAAGACAAAGGACCTTTGAACAATACTCGATATATTCACTTGTAGTTCAGACAATACTATGACAAGGAAATTTGGGAAAGATTTGTTTCTTGCGGATTGGCCCAGGAATTACAGAGAAATTTGCTCTAAACTAGAAATCTGACAAACCCTTTCGACTGTTACTATATTTAAACTATATAGACTCTTTGGAAAGTTGTGATGTCACATGACTACAACCTTCATGTAAATGTGACAACACACAAACTGTTCATGAAATTAACTTACTAATTCAATACCAGCCCATTCACCGGTCTTCCCCTCGAGAGAACCTGTCCAGCGAATGACCCCATACACGGTCACTCCAGAGTTGGACTGGACCTCCACCAGAGAGCCCACCTCCAGGGGAACTGGGGGGCAGCTTTCAGGTTTATTGACTGCTTTTGAACGTGGCAGAGAGTTGATGCGGTTGACTGGCCTCTGGTGTTGACCTGCACAGAGGTATGAGGAGACATTCTTATGACATATCCGTGCACCTGTGTCACATGCTCATGTCATCAGATTAACCTGGGGCAAAGACGCCACAGGCCTCAGAGGTATGTTCTGTGACACCATGTGATCGTCTCATTTCAAAGCAACACGCCCGGTTTTTCAAGTTCACAGCATCATTGCCTAAACCCCCAAATCTCAAATGTTTTCATTAGCGTTCAGCAGAGAAGATACATATTTGGGCTGCAAGATTTTGGCAAAATATTGAATGCAATTTTTCTGAAGGACATTGTGATTGGAAGAAAGAGTTTATAAAACATAACATAAAAACAATTGCCTAATACAACATTTAATACTAATGACAATTCTTTGAGTTGTAATACTTATTTAAGTTGTGCAGATTCAACAAATACATATTCATTGTTTGTTTATATTGTTACCATTGACCTTTGTGTGTGTGTGTACTTAATAAGTTAGGCCTATGTGGTTGGAACTGTTTACTTAGCAAGTAAGTAAGTAATCTTTATTTATATAGCGCCTTTCACAGACCAAGAATCACAAAGTGCTTAAAAGGCTTAACCGATATTTTAGAAATTTTAGAGTCCAAGATTAATGTCAAAGTTGTTTGTCCAACATTATAGCCAACCAATCAGGGCTCAGGGTTAGGACTTTGGTTATGAGTCAACATTGATGTTGATTCTGGACTTCATTACTTGGTATCTTGGATCATGCAACTTAAGATATTTAAATGTATAATGTACAATCAATATATATATATATAGAAAAAGTAAATCAAGTAAATTTTTCCTAAATTTGAATGATTTATATACAGTATATATATATTTCATTTAATCATTACGATCACTAAAACAGCTTGAAAATTCTTCCAGCCCTGATCCAGAATACGTGTTATGACATTCACCTTCCTTCCACTGCACTCCGAGTGGGACAGACTGTGACGGGACAACCTGTACAATGTCTGCTGCACTGAACAGCGGCGGAGGAATGGCTTTCTTAGCGGGAATATTATGGTCCGCGTCCTATACGAATAATGAAAACAATGGACACTTTAGAACGATTGAGCATCAGAGCAGATAAAACAGGCCGATATTCTCCACAGAATCACACCATCGCCTCACCAGTATCTCCACCTCAAAGCCGAGCATGTAGAGCTCCTGCTGGCTGTCATTCCTCCCGATCTGCATGAGGTTCTTCACCAGTCCAGGCACATGTCCGCTCCTGTGCTTGACCACCACAAGGTCCTCGTGCGAGATTCCGCAGATGGCAGAGAAGAGCTGGGGGTTGCAGAGGAGTTCCAGCCGTTTGCTTGTGGAGGAGACAAAGAGCAGCAGCTGAGCCTGGTGGCGTGTCAGGGGGTACGTGTCCTCTCTCTTCACGATGCCTCTGGTCTTGGTGTGGCCGTTGTTGCCATTTCCACAGAACAGCAGGGCCATCAGCTCTCCATTCTGCAGCTCACCCTCGATGCGCCCGATGCCCCCTCTGCAAAAGCCTTTCCTGGACTTTCCGCGGATCACAATGAAGAACTTCTCCTTTGCAACAGGCTCCATACTTTACTGTTCGGCTGTGCTTGCTTCCAGTTTGTACAGTAACCTGTTCACAACATGGAATATCAAAATTGGCACGTTTACAAATTACATACATGCACAAACCATTCTACAATATAAATACAGAAGGACACACTTCTGATTTTAATTGTTTAATTAAAACTGTCAAAAGCTTCATTAGATGTTTTCTGTCATCACTACACACAGAACTGCATTCCAGATTTCATAGTTTGCTCTCAACATGTGAGCAGTTTAAACAAACATTATAATGGTAAATGTCAACACATCTAGGAAACAATTAGCAAGGACATATTACTGCCTAAAGGAAAACTCTACTAAAAGTTTAACAATCATAACCTACCTGTGAAGAATGCAGTAAACGTTCCACCTATAGTTCCAGTTTAGGTGTATTTTCAGCTAAAAACCTAAAGTATCGTAGAAGTGTTGACATTGACAGGCTCCTGTTGATGTGGAGGTGAAACTATTGTGTGGACCTTAATACATGAGTGACCACGCCCCTAGAGGCACAGCACGCCGCCCACAGATGAATCCACACCATTACACAATCAATGTCATTGCTGCTGAGGGCAGGGCAACCAGACACAAAGTAGCAACTTCTCAAATCATGCTTTTTTAAATAAAGGTTACATTTTGTCAAATCACTCGTTCAGAGAAACATAATAATTGTACAATTTTGAAAAGCTCCTTTACTTTTGTAGGGCCATACAATAATTGTTTTGATGTGTTGGGGGTTCGAATCCCACTCCCAACATAACATCACTGGCTGAGCGGTCAGATTGACTGAGGCACAGGTTAACAGATGTGAAACCAGCTCCCTCTGCCGAATGCTGCCATGTGTCTTTGGGCAAGACACTTAGCCCATATCGCACCCAGTATCTGCGTACACGTGTTTGATTGTGTGTTCCTTTATATGAATGATGGAGATAAGAGTGCTAGATAACTGTGAACATGTGAGCACCAATTGGCTCCAGTGATAATCACCCAAACTAAGCATGGTCGGGCACAACAAACAGGAAAAGAGCTTATTGATTTCAGAAAATTAGTAAATATTTACATTGCCAGCAGCTGTATGTACGTGTGGTTTGTCAGTAACCAGTGACCAACCGTTCTGGTCCTGACAGCTGAGTGACATGTTTATGTGTCTGCAGAGGAATACATGTGACATGTCCCACAGTGAGGTATGCTCCTCTGACCATATCTGCGCTCACATCTACTTTATGTAACAGCCATTATTGCTGCACACTCAAGTGTCCTCTCAGTCACCTACAAATACGCACCAATGACACATATACATTCTTGTTTTTATATTTCATACATACTTGTTTACCCTCCAAATGTTCTCTAAAAAACAGGGAAGATATCAAAAGAAAAAATAGGAACATTTTACCATAGAAAACATTTATTGCGATTGAAGATGGTCTGATGCACTGCTCTATGTTTTCATTGTACTCTCCTTAGTGCCATGTACCATCGCTGTAGTAGTAACCTATTTTAAGACTTGTTTATTACTACTAGTATTTTTTTTAAATAATGTACGTCCACAAATGTCGCCATCCACTGCTGGCGAGACAATGTATGTGGGGGCTACCATCTAGTCATAACCCACTGTTTCTTGTCAATAAAAAGAACCAGATGAAAATGAAAAACACGTGTTGGTGATAGAGGCGTGCAGCGAGCGCACAGTAATCGTAAACGGTCAGTATCCTTGAAAAAGAACAATGCAGCACGAGATGTAATAGACAAGATAACATTCTATGGTCCTGCACAAAATGACTCTTCTCCTTTTGAGCAGCAGCAGATTTGCTACGATTTGACAAATGTCGTGACAATAAATCCAAAACAAAATAAAATAAAGTCAGTACCTGAACAATGTGGTGATTACTGACGTCATACACATGCTTATATACTGTACAGCTCAAGTACATTCCTCTTCTGCCACATGGATATAGAACTAACCTGACAGGGCTTTCTGTGCATTCAATCCTGACAATTTCCATCATAAAATTCATGATGTGCAAAGGATAATATTAATAATAAAGAATTTCATTTATATTGCAGTTTTCACTTTTTGTTTTGTTTATGTTCTCCTCACTGTTATGTCAATGTTACTTCATATTTTATTGGAGGAAAACCCCTTGAGACGAATTATTTTGTTTTCATTCTTCATAAAGGCATTGAAGAAAATATGAACAAAAATATCTAAGTGTAACCTGTCAGTAAAAATAATATAATAGAGAGCTTTATTGAAACAAGGCCATCACTTTTTCTCTTTAGATTGAGACTGAGTTCTAATCTCTGGGTGAAAGATAAGGCTGAGGATTGACGCCGTACAACATATTTCATCCCTAAGAGGCGATCCAATTCCTATGACACTGAAAATAAACACCATGAGCAGTTTGAGGCTCGGGGAGCTTTGATGAGTCCAGTCATCCTCATGACAAACGAGAGACAAAGGAAAACAGGATTTTCAGGTTCCATATCAGATTTGATACAGACACTTTGATGTTTTTAATAATTGAGACATAAATCAAAAAGCTACAAACGGCACTGCTGTGCTGGTGAAGAACAAATCAAAGACTGCAGCATATAAGCTGTTTGAAAGAAAACTATAAGTGTAAATGTCATGTTGATTATTTGCACTGTTGGGTCAGTGATAATGAAACTCAACGTTAAAACGTTTACCTTTGCAGAGACGGCAGAGTTAAATCTGTGGTACCTAACTTTTTTCATAACTAATACAAACAGAAAGTCTCTTAAAACTAAAATATTGTGAACAAATCAAAACAAAACAATGTATATTTTGCATTCTTGTGAGTCACTATTTGATTGGCTGAGTGAGGCTGGTCTTCCCTTTATCTATCTGAAATATCTTACGCCAAGATGTGATAGAACCAAACACATGCACGGGAAAACTATAGTGATAGAACCAAACCGTTGAAGGGCCTGGATTTTATTGTACTGCTTAATGTTTGTGGTTTGAAAGTTCATTTAATGAATGCAAACATTACAACACTAAATATCAAGGTTTACAATCTACTTTCACGCCCTCAAAGGTCATGAGCTTTGAGTAAAAAATGAAAAGACAAGTTCAGGGATTGAATCTGTCGAACTTAAAGCACTTTAATGATCTCGCACATGTATTGAAATGGTTTTAGTTGATCAATCTCACTGTGTCAATCGTTTCCAGCACTTTCTATTTCTGTACTTTTAACTTTTAAGGTACTTGTCTTGTGCACCTTGGGGACTTTTGTAAATGTATTCCAATTTGGTTTTAGTGCAAATGGCAAATGAAATGGATCTGAATCTGAACTCTTCCTTCGATGACTGGATGGGCTCCCATGGAAGGAGCTCGGAGTAAAGGCGTTGCTTTTATATCGAGAGGAGCCAGTTCAGGTGGTTCTAATAATAATAATAAATCAGTTTTATACAGCGCTTTTTTGGGCACGTCATTATTCATTCACTCCATATCACGGTGGTGATAACTACTGTAGCCACAGCTGCCCTGGGGCACACTGACACCAACAGCCCCTCTTACCACCCCACAACTGTGACTGTTTACATCTGAGGCTTCTCGGCCCCCACCACCCCCCTCCTCCTCCTCCTCCTCCTCCTCCTCCTCCTCCTCCTTCTCCTCCTCCTCCTCCTTACCAGCACCGGGTGAGTACTGTGGTGCAAACACTGACCCCTGTCCGTCTGGCAGTGTAACGACAGTCCTGCCACTGAACTGTGCTGACTCAGTTATGCATCTGGAACTTAACAAAGTACAACAGAGTTCACTTTTTAAACCAATAGAGACTGTGTGTGTTCCTCGCACCAGCTCAGAAATGTGTTTTAACTTGAATAAACACAAATTTAAAAGAAGGACAGCAGTTAGACGGTCCAACTCTGGAAATCTAATTCCAGTTCTTTGTAATCAATCAACTAAACCCACTGACACTGATATTAATTTTAACCTTGCTCTACTTAATGTCAGATCACTATGCAACAAATCATTTTTAATTAATAATTTTATCTGTTCGTATGATCTTGATTTTATGTTTATGACTGAAACATGGCTTGACCATAATACAGGAGATGCAGTTTTAATAGAAACCTCACCACCAAATTTCAAATTTGAATATGAAACACGAGAAAATAAAAGGGGGGGGGGGCATAGCAGCAGTTTTTAAAGATCGTATTGTCTCCCATAGAGTGTCTCTTGGGAAATTTTCATCATTTGAGTATGTTTCTTTTAAAATAGAACAAAAGAAATCTTCTTCCATTCTTATTATTGTTGTGTACAAGCCGCCACAGTCATGCCATAGTTTCACTGATCATTTCACTGAGTTGCTTTCAGTTGTGTGCACAGATTTTGATGGTTTAGTCATTATAGGCGATTTTAATATTCATGTGGATAATGTTAATGACAGATACGCAAAATCTGGGACTCCTGTTAGTGCCCAGAGTCAGGACTAGACAGGGGGAGGCTGCTTTTCAGATTTATGCAGCTAAAGTCTGGAACAGTCTTCCTGAGGATGTGAGACTGGCTGCCTCTCTGTCAATGTTCAAATCCATGTTAAAGACTTTTCTTTTTTCCTGTGCATACAACTAGAGAATTTTATCTTTTTAACACACCTTGTTATTTATTGTTGTAACTTTTTGTGTTTTTAACTATTTTATTGTTTTTAATTACTTGTGTGATTCTTATGTTTTTAAATTACTTATGTGATTTTAATGCTTTTTAATTATATATGTGTTTTTAATTGTATTTTAATGGTGATGATTTGTGCATTGTGTGGTGTGGACTGTGAGGCGCTTTGTGTTGCCCTGTGCAGGAAAAGCGCCCTATAAATAAAGATTGATTGATTGATTGATTGACAATCATTCTAGGCAATGGGGGTAAAGTGTCTTGCCTAAGGACACAACGGAAGTTTGGCACTTTACAGCCGCGCCACTGTGGCTGGTGTTCCCTGAGGTCAAGTATCTTGCCAAGGACACAATGGCAGCAGATAGTGGGAGTAGATGGTGAAGGTTGGCCTTGAACCCACAACCCTCTGGCTCAAAGGCCAAAACTCTACCAACTGAGCTACTGTCACCTAGCATTTGTTTGCTCCAAATGCGATGCAGAAACTGTGTGGGGAGAAGGAATTCTAGGTGCCTCTGATCCGACTGCTGCAACAGTTGAGGTGTAAGAAAATAGACTGATGATAAAAGAAGCATGGACCAGGACAACACCTACTTCACTTGTTATTCCTTAATAAATTATTCAACACAGATAATACAGACCATATTGATGCTGAGAAAAACACTTTACTAGCACCAGCTCAGACCTACTACAAAATATTGATTGTTAGGCATGTTGAGGTATCGCTATTATATCATGAATACAGTTCAATATGAGGCTAGCTTGTGTAATGTGTAATAAAAGGAACAGAAAATAAAAAAATTCAATAAAGATAATGTTGGTTAAGAATAGGCATTATGTGCAACTCAAGTACATTTGAGGATTTTCATAACATTTACAGACGTCTAAGACACATATTGTGGCATTTGATCAATCAATTAGGTTTCAAAGGGCATAAAATAATACAAAGAAAACTTCACTTCACTTGTAGTGCATGCAAGTGTGCTTTACACCTATCTAAAGAACAATAGTAAAAATGCATAGCAAAGATTGTTTTAGACCTAAAACAAAGTATTGTTGTCTTGAATGAATGGTATTCATTCAAGACAGTTCCAGTGTTTCCCACAGGTTTGAAGGCAATGTGTGGTGGTCGTCGGCGGGGGGGAGTGGGGTACAGTGGTACAGTGGTAGAGGACAATCTTGAGGTCATGAATCCAGTGAAATTAGTCGCACACCTTTTTACAGTAATAAGTTACAGTAGATCAAAAGTGACATGTTTTGACTATTTTGGAGGTATTTTGGACCAAAATGGCTACTTTACCTCAATATTTCTCAATATTTCTACAGTAAAAGTGTCTGGTCTTTGGTACAGTGGTAGAAGGCAATGTTGAGGTCATGAATCCAGTGAAATCAGTTGCACACCTTTTTACACTGAAAAGTTACAGTAGATCAAATGTGACATGTTTTGACCATTTTTAGGCTATTTTGGACCAAAATGGCTACTTTAAATCAATATTTCTACAGTAAAAGTGTCTGGTCTTTGGTACAGTGGTAGAGGACAATCTTGAGGTCATGAATCCAGTGAAATTAGTCGCACACCTTTTTACAGTAAAAAGTTACAGTAGATCAAAAGTGACATGTTTTGACTATTTTGGAGGTATTTTGGACCAAAATGGCTACTTTACCTCAATATTTCTACAGTAAAAGTTTCTGGTCTTTGGTACAGTGGCAGAGGGCAATAATAAGGTCATGAGTCAAGTGAAATTAGTCGCACACCTTATTCCAGTAAATAGTTACAATACTTGAAAATTGCACTAGCGGACCAAATTGTGTACTTTATATATGTAAACAATAGAGTGGCTATCCTCCTGAGGACTCACAATCTGCCGGAGGAATTGCTATGTGTGCCGGGTGGCATCTCTATAAGGTTTTAATCACAAAAACGTGTCTCCCTGACCCCAGCGCGCTTTCTGTTCGATAAAAATGGGTGACTCCGAAAGGACGTTCCGCTGTTACCGTAAGTTCTCAACAAAACGCGCACCGTCTTTTCCCCGATGCGGGCCGCATGTTCATAGAGCTGAAAGATGCGGGCCACTTTACCGCGGTAAATTAATAGACACAGCTGCTTACAGCGATGATCGCTGATGGAGACGGAGACACGCGGTGTGCACGAAGGGGAGGGGCTGTGTGTGTGTAGGTCTCTGTATGTGGGAGAGACGCGTAGCTTGAGTGAGAGTTACGAAGGGCCGCCACATTTTAAACCCCCCTCCCCGCTGTCAAATTGACCGCTGCGGCGGCACTAGACGATGCATGTTTTAAATAGCGTAACAAAAAAAATATATATATAATAATACGAAACGCAATTTGTGGCGGGCGGTCTCTAATCTGTGGCGGTGCGCCACAGATTAGTCTATGTGTGGGAAACACTGAGTTCTCGGATTGGACCATGTAACAGGGTGTGTACATGTTAAAGCAGGTTTTCAGTCTTCTGTATCTGCACAGAGTGTTCTTCATCATGAGTTTGGTGTGTATCAGTCGTCAGTGGTACAGGCTGCGCTGGCCAGGCTGCTGCAGGTGGAAGCTCTGAGGATGGACCCCTTGTCGGATACGGTTCTGTCGCTGCATAGCCCTCCGTGACAAGCCATGCCGGGGCACCCAGTCTTTGGCTTTGTGCACACAGACACAGGGAGTCCCAGGGCCCACCGCTTTAGACAGAGACAGTACAGCAGGGAGGGCTTCAGCTGCACTTTTCTTTTTTTGATCCTGAGTTTCTGAAGAAATTGCACTAGAAAAAAAGATGTGATTGATATATTTATTGTTTGTTATTATTGCATTTCCTGTGTTCAAAGTTTTTGATTCTTCTTTCTGTGTTGGTGTATTAACAACTTTGTAAAATCCTTCGAGACGTCTACTGTTGTGATTAAATGCTATACAAAAATATATTGAAACATATTTGTATATTTCACTGAAAAAGTGTGGTCACACATTACAGACCTGTTTTCCAGGAGCTGGGAGCAGGTGGATCCAAGGACAGCTGTGTTTGTTTCATGGTCGATCACTGCCGCCTTGTGGTGTTCTTCTGCAACTGCCTCTGTTCAAACAAAATTTTAAAATATGTATTATTCTGCTTTACAGAAAATAATATACAACTGTAACAGTCGTACCAACCTTGGTGGCTCACAACATGCCACTCTTCATCCTCCACTTCCATAGGCCTAATGTCTTCAACAGCCTTATCTTCTGCCCCAAACAGGAGGTTGCTGATGAGTCTGAACATGATTGTTTTTCCTCTTCCTCTGTGGTTTCAGTTATCTTTTATTTTTTTTATATTCAGCTACTTTTATGAACAAACTACTCTGAAAAAAAATAAGATGTGTGAACTGGCAAACTAAATAAATAAATTAAAACAAATCATAAATAGTACAACAACAAAAAGGATATAGGATAGGATAATAACGAAAATGCAACTTTTAACTTTTCATCATTGGCATGTCAAAAGGTTGAAATGTTTGAATAATGCCCCTTCATTGATGGGGTCCATCTGTTATGGGGGAGGGGCTTGTGACAGTCATCATCTGACACAGTCATGGATCGATTAGGTTACACTATAGAAGGTAAATAGCTACAATAATAATTAACTAAAAATCTCCATTGACTTCGTCAAAAAATATTTAACGCTGACAATAATTAGCTCTGCCTTCAGATAAGTATGTAACGGTAAACACCACCATGTCTAGTCTATGTATATAACCCGTATACAATTTGAATGAGTAAAGCCACGACTGTAGTAAAAAGTAATCCGAGTTCGTGCATGTCTGTAAATGTTTTCATAGTTCTTGTTCTCCTTCTCCTCTGTCATGAACCTGCGCTGCATGAGCTCAGCTTTGACAGATGCAACAATGTCGCGTAAAGCCCTTACCTCAGAGACTTGGGATGGATCGTACGGAGACAAAACAGCGTCTTTGGCCCGTTCTCTCCCACGTATGAAACAGTTTGAACAACTGCACAAATCCGGTGCACAATTATGTCTTGGTTCAAACATCAACGGACCAAAGAAAAGGACGCCCCCTTGGCACGCCCACAACAGTCACCCACCAATCACAAAAAGGCATCAGCGACACAGCGAAACAGAAACTAATACATAAAAATACAAATAGATTATGATAATAATAGTAATAATAATGATAACAATAACAGTAATAATAATAACAATAATAATAATAGTGGTAATAATAATAATAATAATTGTAATAACAATACATATACAGTATGTATAAGTAAGACAAGACAATACAAAAAAATAAAAAATCAATATGCCTTAGGGTTCGCCAACTGCTCATCTGCATCATGGAGGAGATGAAGTAACCGTAACTTTACATATACTTTGAAAAAGTATTATGGAACATGTGAACATATTAAAAGAAATTGATCAACTATTTAAGTTATCCTCACAACAGTGAATCCTGTGGCAGAGAGCAGCAGGCAGGTGGTTTTCATGTAACGTTAGGTTTATTAAAGATGTTGAGGTATTCCTTGGACTAAACCTATATGAAAATAAATGTTTAGACATTGATCAAAGTGTATCTTTATCCACTTCAACCTGTGTTTAGAGTTATGGGCCAAACCCATGGGGACGAAGGTGAACAAGGAATGTAAAAAGCATTTTCTCTCTCACAAAAGTCTGGAAGTCCAAGTCTGACATTGACTTCTAGACTTTTGGGGTCAAAAGCAGCGTGGGTGTGAACGATCTGTAATGATGTAAATGAAAGATGCACTGACCATAGCAACAGATGCAGTGACCATAGCAACAGATTAAGGCAAGGCAAGGCAAGGCAAGGCAAGGCAAGGCAAGGCAAGGCAAGGCAAGTTTATTTGTATAGCACAATTCATACACAAGGCAACTCAAAGTGCTGAACAAGATAGCATTAAAATCATAAATAATTACAGAACATTAAAACGAAAGATAAAAATATAAAATCCCTCAGTTGTATGCACAGCTAAACAGCACCGTTTTTAACCTGGTTTTAAACATTGTCAGAGAGGAGGCCTGTCTCACATCTTCAGGAAGATTGTTCCAGATTTTAGCAGCATGAATCTGAAAAGCAGCCTCCCCATGTTTAGTTCTGACTCTGGGCACTAACAGGAGTCCAGTCCCTGTGCTCCTCAGAGTCCGGGCTGGTTCATATGGGACTAACATGTCACTAAATATATTTTGGTGCGAGGCCATGGAGAGATTTGTACACAAGCAGAGCTGTTTTAAAGTCTATTCTCTGAGCCACAGGAAGCCAGTGCAGGGACCTGAGGACCGGACTAATGTGGTCGTACTTCCTGGTTCTAGTCAGGACTCGAGCTGCTGCATTTTGAATGTACTGCAGCTGTTTTACAGCCTGTTTGGACAGACCTGTGAGCAGGCCATTGCAGTAGTCTAACCTACTGGAGACAAATGCATGGATAAGAATCTCCAAGTCTGCTTTAGACACTATGTTTTTGATCCTGGCAATGTTTTTTAGATGGTAAAAAGCTGCTGATGTTACTGATTTGATGTGGCTATTAAAATTTAAGTCTGAGTCCAGTATTACCCCTAGATTTCTGACCTTGTTAGAAGGTTTTAGGGAGAGAGACTGTAGGTGACAGATGACGCTCTCTCTTTGTTTCTGGGGACCAAAGACAATCATTTCAGTTTTGTCTGCGTTTAGCTGAAGGAAGTTGTTTTGCATCCACTCACTGATCTGTTGGATACAGTGAAGGAGTGAGTCCACTGGTCCATGTTCTCCTGCAGTCAGTGAGACATAGATCTGAGTGTCGTCTGCATAGTTATGATAGGAAACTTTGTTTCTGCGTATTAACTGACCTAACGGCAGCATGTAGAGATTGAACAGAAGAGGTCCCAGGATCGACCCCTGTGGTACTCCACAGGTCAGGGCCATATGATCTGAGACACAGTTTCCAATCTCCACAAAGTACTTCCTGTCTTCAAGGTAAGACCTAAACCAACTTAGGGCGGTGCCAGCGACGCCAACCCAGTCCTCTAGTCTCTGTAAGAGGATCTCATGGTCGACAGTATCAAAGGCAGCACTTAGATCTAACAGGATTAGGATTGAGACTTTGCCTGCGTCAGTGTTCAGCCGGATATCGTTTGTAACCTTAACGAGAGCAGTCTCAGTGCTGTGGTGGGGTCTAAAGCCGGACTGAAACATATCAAATGAGTTGTTGATTATAAGAAATCTAGTAAGCTGTAGGTAGACAACTTTCTCAAGGACTTTCCCCATAAATGGCAGATTTGAGATGGGACGATAGTTGTTAAGTACCGTAGCATCCAGACTGCTCTTTTTTAGCAGGGGCCTGATGACTGCAGTTTTCAGGGCCTTTGGGAATATTCCAGAATCAAGGGACATGTTTACTATCTGTGTGAGTGAAGGTAACAGACTGCTCAGAACAGACTTTAGAAATCTAGTGGGTAGTACATCCAGGCTGCATGTGGAGGAGCTCAAACTGGAGATTATCTCTTGGACAGTTTGATCATTTACAGGTGCAAAGTAAGTTAGCTCAAAGAGCCTTTCTGGCTGTTGGATTGTTATCTGTGGATTGGAGACAATGGCGTTTTTGATGCCTTGAACCTTGTCATTGAAAAAATGTGCAAATCATTACATTTACGTTTGGAAGTTAGCTCTAATGGCATTTGAACAGGGGGGTTTGTTAATCTATTAACTGTTGAAAACAGAACACGCAGATTGTTGCTGCAGCCTTCAATCATTTCAGAAAAATACCTTTCTCTTGTACTACGTAGCACCTGGTTAAACTCGCACAACTTATCTTTGAAGATCTTGTAATCAACCTGGAGGTTGGACTTGCGCCACTTCCGCTCGGCCCTCCGGCACTCTCTCTTTTGTGCTCTGACCGAGTCTGCTTTAGCCCACGGCGCCTTCTGCTTATTTTTCACTATTTTAACCTTCACAGGAGCGATGGTGTCCAGAACTTTCAAAACACTAGAGGTGACAGAGTTAAACAGTTCATCTACAGTAGAATACGATGCATTCTCAAAGTTTATCATTCCCATAAATAGTTCACCCGTATTTTCATTTATGTGTCTTCTTCGTACAGTTGCAGAGTCCACTGGTGGTTTGTTAGTGAAACACTGTCAAAAAATATACAAAAATGATCCGAAAGCGCAACATCGACCACGTTTACATTATATATGTTCGCCCCCTTTGTAACTAACAGGTCTAGAGTGTGCCCTTTGCTGTGGGTGGGGCCACTCACATGCTGAGTGAGACCAAAAGATTCAAGAAGAGAACTCAGCTCTTTAGCATTTCTGTCATCAACATTATCCACATGAATATTAAAATCACCTGTAATAACTAAACTATCAAAATCTGTGCATACAACTGAAAGCAACTCTGTAAAATTATCAATAAAACTGTGACATGACTGCGGTGGCTTGTATAGGACAACGAAAAGTATTGGAGGAGATTGTTTTTGTTGTATTTTAAAAGACACATATTCAAAAGACGGAAACTTCCCAAGAGACATTCTATGGGAGACAAAGTGGTCTCTGAAAATGGCAGCTAAGCCTCCTCCTTTTTTGTTTTCCCGTATTTCAGATTCAAATTTGAAATTTGGTGGTGATGCTTCTATTAAAACTGCATTTTCTGTATTTTGGTCAAGCCATGTTTCAGCCATGAACATAAGATCTAGATTATAAGAACAAATAAAATTATTGATTAAAAAAGACTTGTTACAAAGAGATCTGACATTTAGCATAGCAAGTTTCAAAGTTTCAGGATCAGCGGTTGTGGTCGGCTGATTCTTACACGGAACAAGAATTAGATTTTCCTGATTAGACTGATTAACTCCAGATGTTTTTCTGTTATGTATTCTTTGTGTTATCACTAAGGGAATGGCACAGGTGGCTTCACGACAGGGCCCCAGCCGGGTCTCTCCTCTAACTAGACTGCCAGTGGCTGCGAAGCAGAGACCCTGTGCATCCTAGTGTTTAGAGAAAAGAGGGGTAGGGGAAGGCGGGGGAGGAGGATGGAGAGGCGGGTGGTTCTTGGGAGTTGGACGGGGAGGGGTTGAAGGTGGATGGGTTTTTGGTGATGGGTTAGGGGAGGGGCAGGCTGAGTTGGGTGGTGGACGAGGGGGGAGTGGAGGTGGAGGGTTTCTTGGTGCTGAGTTAGGGGGGGGGAGGGGGGCTAAATGAGCAGGAGGGGGGGGGTGGAATACTTATGGGGTTAGAGGAGGGACGGGTGGATTTTGTGGGAGAATTTGAGTTGGACG